CACAGCTTGCAGCCGAGACGCCTAAGGTTTGGGGTTTAGGGTTTAGGGGTCTAGGGTTTAGGGTTTAGGGTTTAGGGTTTAGGGTTTATAGTCTAGGGGTTTAGGGTTTAGGGGAGAAGTTGTAAATAGTCTCCGGGACCCTGTACTCTAAACTCAAACCCAAGCATCAGACCTTTTAAACCATAAAAATCCCTAAGCCCGCCCAACCCTCAAACCCCTGAGCCCTGACCTAAGCACTCAAACCCCGAACCCCTAAACCCTAAACGCTCAAACCCTAAACCCCAAACCCATCTAAACCCTCAAACCCCTAAGCCCTAAACCCTCAAACCCCTAAACCCTGAAACCCTCAAACCCCTAAACCCTGAAGCCCTGAGATCCTAAACCCCCTGAAGCCCTAAACCCTGAAGGCCTGAAGCCCCTAAACCCCCTGAAGCCCTAAACCCTAAACCCTAAACCCTAAACCCTAAACCCTAAACCCTAAACCCTAAACCCTAAACTAAAGCCCTTCTATCAAGGCCTCTGGCTCATGACATACCTGCCCGGACCCCAGAGCTCTCTTGTTGGGTTGTGGCGATTTCCAGGGCTCGGCTTTAGGGCGGAGGGTTTAGGGTTTAGGGTTTAGGGTTTAGGGTTGAGGGTTTAGCGTTTACTTGGTAGTAGAATAATATGATTATAGTATAATATACCCCAAATCCCCATTATAACTATCAAGGCCCCTGCATTAGGTAAGATTACCCTAGGGATCAAAATAGCCCAAAAGCCTTATGTAGTATGGTCTTTGGGCCCAAAAGCCTTAATATATGAGTCCTTAGATCCCTAGGGTTAGGTAAGCTTACTGGTTCTTATGATACTTTTCAGAGGGGCGCGAGGTGTGTGTGGTCGGGATATCGAGACGCGAGATCCACCCTGGCGGGCGAGAAACAGGCCCCGTTTAGGGTTGAGATAGTTTAGGACTCAGGGGTCTAGGGTTTAGGGGTTTAGGGGTTTAGGGTTTAGGGGTTTAGGGGTTTAGGGTTTAGGGGTTTAGGGGTTTAGGGTTTAGGGTTTAGGGTTCAATAGCAAGCCGCAGTACCCCCATTCCCGAAGGCTAGGGCTTGAATTCAAACTCTAAGCCAGAGCCCTGAAGCCGTAAAAACGGCGAACCTGAAGTTAAAAACCCCCAAACGGTCTAGGGTGTAGGGTTTAGGGTTTAGGGTTTAGGGTTTCGGGTTTAGGGTTTAGGGTTTAGAGTAGCGCATCTTACAGGCAGGGATACATCCCATTGCCAAGTCCAAGCGCTCAGGCCACCCTTCAGCTTGGACCCCAATCCCTTGATCCTAAACCCCAAACCCTAAACCCATAAACCCCTAAACCCCTAAACCCCTAAACCCTAAACCCCTAAAAACCTAGCCCCTAAACCCCGAAACCCTCAACCCCTAAAGCCCTAAACCCCTAAAACCTTCAACCCTAAACCCCAAGGTTCCTTAGCTACATGTACCACCAGTCAGCGCTGCGTGACTACTGCACCTTGGCTCGGGAGTTTAGGGTTTAGGGTCGGGCGGTCTAGGGTTTGAGGTTACAGTATGATGGACTTTCGGCTTTACAGGGTTACGGCCTGAGTTGCTGGAGTGTCTGGCTAGAACTAACTTCAGGGTTTAGGGTTTAGGGTTTAGGGTTTAGGGTTTAGGGTTTAGGGTTTAGGGTTTAGGGCTTAGACTGCACGGAATGTGGGTTCCGGATTTGGCCCCGGACAGCCCCTTGCAATATACTGACGTCGCAGCCCAAACCCCTTAACCTAACGCTCCGGTAACCTGAACCCTAAACCTTAACCCAGCCAGCCCTAGTGCAGGCTCGGGAGTATAAGGGTAGTATCAGTATTGCTTTCTCTTCAACTTGTTGCGGTTGAGCTGAGTATGCAGACCTCTACAGTAAAGGCCCTGAACCCTTGAACACCCTAAACCCTAAAACCTAAACCCTAAACCCTAAACCAAGGTCAATACTGTCCCTTTCACTTTGTCGGCCTCTTCACCGCTGCGGCAGGCCGGGATATTCTGGGTTCTGGGGGCCTTCCAAGCATCAGGGGCCTCAGAAGGATGTTCTGCAAGTTTGCAAAGACAGGGAGCTAGGATTAGGGGGTACCGTTGGGGATGTAGACCCTCTCAATAAGGCCCTTAAGAGAGGCAAAAGTAGGGTTCAGAAGGGGTGCCCTTTAAGGGGTACCCCTAATAATACTACCTATAGACAGATACCTCTTTGGCTCTATTCGGATTGTACAGGGTGTTTATGGGCTTGTATGGGGCGTTAGAGGAGTTATGTGGTATTCGGTGGAAGTCATAGGGGTTCCATATGCGCCGCCATGGCGGTGTACACATGTAGCTAGAAACATTACTCCCATAAGCTCCGTACTACTTTCTTGTATCTCAAAACCCAATAAACCCTAGCCTAATTATTCAGGGAATTCATACGATGTGGTGGTTGCACAAAACTACAGGGTTTGAGGGTTCGGGCCGCCGTTATAAGCTTCCTTCAACCCTGCCCTAAACCCTAAACC